ACTCCTTTATTTTTATTACTTAAAAAAACTTTCTCCAGCTTTATTGAGGTATAATTGACAAATAAAAACTGCACATGTTTCAGGTGTGTGGTATGATGATTTGCCATACGTCTACATTGTGAAATGATTACCACAATCAAATTAATTAACACATCCATCACCTCGCATAATTTTTTGGGGGGTGTTGAGAACACTTAAGATCTACTCCCAGCATATATCAAATATATAATATAGTATTATTAACCATGCTTTACGTTAGATCTCCAGAACATCTTTCCCTGCACAACTGAAGCTTTGTTACCTTTGACCAAAAACTCTGTTTCTTCCATCTACCTAGCCCCAGGCTAACTCCATTCTACTCTTTACTTTTTTGAGTTTGACTTTATTTTAAATTTCATATATCAATGACATTATGTAGCATTAGCCTTTCTGTGCCCGGCTTACTTCACTTAGCATAATGGCCTCAAGGTTCATTCATGCTGTTGCAAATAGTAGGATTTCCTATTTTATTTTTTTTAAATAAGGCTTAATAATACTCCATTTATATATACTGCACATTTTCTTTATCCGTTCATCCATCAGTGAACACTTAGGTTGTTTCCATGTCTTGGCTATCGTGAGTAATGCTGTAACAAACGTGAGAGTGAAGTTCTTCCTTTAAGATACTGATTTCATCCCTCTGGATATACACCCAGAAGTTGTTTTGTTGGATCATATGGTAGGTAGCTCTCTAGTTGTAATTTTGTGAGGAACCTCCGTACTGTTATCCACAGTGGCTGCACCAATTCACATTCCCACCAACAGTGTTCCAGGGTGCCTTTTTCTGCACATCCTCACCAACACTTACCTTTTGTCTTCCTGATAAACACTTTTCTTTTTAAGCCAGTTGGCATTTTTTGCTACATGTAGCCAAAAGTATCCCAACATTGATATTTCAATCCAGTTCAATCAGAATTCAACTCCATCACATCACCAAGACTGCTGTTATAAAGAGCACCCAATGGCCCACTCAGTGGAGAATCCTGTTCCTCCATCTCTGCTCAGGGTTAAACTTTTCACCAGATATGCAGATGTACTCAAGTATATTCAGTATAGCATTGGGAATAACAGTAAAATATTTAAAGTAACTTACTGGTATGCTGAATACTGAAAGTCAGCTACGGATGCACACAATTTTATTTGAGTTATTTTTCATTATTTTAACTTCAGATGTATTATATATTTTTCAAATATATTTTTATATATCATTAAATTATTATTTTATATGATATTTTAATTTATTTTAAACCTATTTATTTTATTTTCATTTTTATGTTTAAATTGTATTTCTTTGCTGTATGTGCCTATTTAATCACTAATTTCGTGACCAAGATGGGACTGAATAAATAGATTACATATTCATTTCATAGAATGCAGCCAATGAAAGAGTGAAGCAAATTCTACACGTACTAATGGGGATTAGTTGCCAAGCTCTAGTCAGTGAAACTAGCAAAGAGCAGAGCAGTGTGAATTTTCATGCTACCATTTTCACTTTAAAAGATAATATTTTTGCTTGTATATGTAGGAAATAGCTCTGGAAGGATTCCTAAAAATCTACTTGGTTGCCTCTGAGAAAAGGAACTAGATGGCGATGATAGAGGCGTGAGGAAAATTAACGTTTCGTTGCATAATGGCTTTTTCACCTTTTGAATTTGTGCTGTGGCCATGTGGCACCTATCCAAAACATAACAAACCAAAAAAAAAGGTTAATTTTTAAAATAAAGAAATGTTCAATCTCTGGCAAAATATTGCTAGTTAATAGGGTTCCATCTTAAAATTCCCCATATGGTATCTCTTATCCTCATAATTTTAAGGATAATCCCAATGCTGAAAAATCCCACATACTTACATCTTCTCTCTTTCTGTTAAAGAAAATTTGAGATATAATTGGCATATTGCGTTGTATTAGTTTCAGGTGTGCAGCATAATGATTTGCTCTACGTATACATTGCAAACTGATTATCATAATAAGTTTAGTTGACTTACTGGCTGCGTCACCACACATAATCACTGTAGCTTCTCTTTCAGGTTCTACACTCATTGCCCTCGCGGCCTTACTTGGTTATCTCTCAGACAGTTCAAAAATTGGCAAACCTGAGCAGTTCTTCCTAACTCCAGCCCTGTCCTCACAAAACTGCTTTTCTCCAAGTCTTCTCCCATCAACCCTTATTCTCAGGGAAACTCTCTGGGAATTATTCTGGTCACCTTTCTATCTCTTAAACTCCCTGTCTAATCCATCATAGGATTCTGTGGTCTCTCATATACATACAGTCCTGTCTCTGACTCGCCCGTGTGACCACTTTAGTCTAAACCACCATCTCCTCACCTAGCTTTCGTGTCTTCCTTCAAAACCTTCTCCAACGCCATTCCCACAGAACTTCCTCTAAAACCCCCCAGTTCAAAGCAAGTCCTCCTATTACTTTATCAAAGAAATCCATTTTTTTCTTTATAACTATTATTAATATTACAGTTGCATATTCTCATGTGTCACTATTTGCATGGGTTCTTTCTTGCTGGATTATGATCGCAATGAAGCAGGGACAGTTCCCATTGTCTCAGGCTCCTATGCCCACAGCCTAGCACAATGCCTGGCACGTGGACTATGATTAATCAGTTACTCTCAGACGAGTTGGTAAGTTGCATGTGAATGAGCTCTTACTGTGTAGCCGATACTGTGCTGCACACATTACTTGGGGAAAATCAGTCTATTTCAGGATAAGCATTTATGGCCCGTGGACTTCTTGGGGTACAAACGAGTACAAGAGGGTATTTTCGTGTGCGAATCGGGTGACCAGGAGCGTGTTTGTTTGCTAGAGCAAGGAAGGGGGCTCCATTGAGGGAACAGACAAAGAAAATGAAAGAGATGAAGAACAGGTTTGATTTCCTCACCTGGAAAATAAGGTGTGTGGAAGGAGTGATTTGCTACAATTATACCATTCTGCTTCATCGTTTTTTCCAAAACCTGCCCTGCAAGGTGACAACTCCCTAGATCTTTCTCCTTAGGAATGTCAGGAACACAAATGATGTCTGCGTGGTGGAAAAAGCATCCCATTTGTAGGACACCTGGGAGGGGAAAGTGGTAGACTGTCTCTAGTTCTGGAAGAGCTCACTGTGAACCTCCAGCCATGGCCACCCTAATCCTGCCCCCACCATGGGCCGAGCATCTCAGGCTGTCTGCTCAGTCCACAATGTTCCCAAGACTGTGAGGGCGACTCATTCTTGAAATAGACAGACAGTACAATGAAATAAAATAACTGGCAAATCCTCTTTTATTAAATAATAAGCAACCATCTATATACAGTGGCTTGTCTGTTGCAGGACTGCTCCCCCCAGCTCCCTGGGACGCTGCTCCATGGAACCAAAGTGCAAGCTCACAGCCCATGGTTTGAATGCCCTGTAATACATGAAGCTAACTGGCCAGAAGCCCAGTCCACACTGGAGTGCTCAGTCACGGCACACACAGGAGAAAATGAACCATTTCAACCCACAAAGACTTAGGTGAAGAGTGGTCAGCTTCACTTAGAATATCCATGTTTTGCCTTCTAAGCATCTCTCCTAACAATTCAACCAGCTGTTACTCTTCAAGACATGTGTCACTTTCTTTGCATTTGGGTCAAACTCCAACTGCAAAGATCCATTGAAGAAATAGAAGAACCCTGCAAATCCAGACAGGGGAAAGAGTGAGATATTTTTTCAGATAAATAACTTTGGCAACATACAAACCTCAGAATAAGAGATAACCTAAAAATAGAGAGTGTTTATAGAGTTTTAGTCCATGCCAGGGATTCTGTCAAGCATTCCACATAGCTTTTTTTCACTTATTTCTGCAACAATCCTAGGAGGCCAGTATATCTGACTCCATGTTATGGATGAGCAGTTGAGGTTCAGAGAAATTCCAATGTTTGCCCAAGGTCACTCAGCAAGGAAAGGATGGAGACTGCACTCCGCTGCGGCTCTGTCTGAGAGCAAAGCCCGGCACTGGGTGAGTGGGTTACTCTGCTTCGTCAGATACAGTTCTCTGCTTCTTTGGACACTGTGGTGTCTTTGTACTCTTTCTCCCCAGGACTCCTCCTCCCTCTCCTCTCATTGCAGCCTGAGGGACACTTCTGGTCTCAGGGCAGCAGAGCGGCTCTTCCAGAACACCAGAGGATCCTTCATGGCTCTGCCATCACGGTACCCAGATTACCTTTCAGTAAAGGTCATCTTTCCCTCCACCCATCTAACCTTGAATAGGGGAAAAAAATCTTTTTTTTAAACTTTGGTCTCATGGAAAGTTAAATATTGGCCGCTGACCCATGTAAGCAATGCCTGACTCCTCAGGAAAGATGGAGAGAATCACCCTGGGGACCAGCAGGAGCAGTGGGATGGAGTGGACCAGAAAGCCAGTGGCCAGTGTTAAACTTGACCCACCATTCAAGGGGATTCTTTCACAACTCATTATGTGAAGTAGTCACCTCATCGATACCAAGTTGGTCAGTAGCCACCTAACTGATACAAAATTGTATCAGTCACCTAGTTGATACAAAATTGAAATTTGGGGGAGGGAGAAGGGAACGGGCTAAAGAAAACCTGTTATTAAAAATGATTTCAATTTTCCTCTTCCCTCTGGTACTGTAGAATGTTTCAAGTGCCCCACTGCCAACAGAGTAAGTATCCTCTTACCAAACGCTTCAAAAACCGCATCCACATGGGGGCCAACCCCTGGAAAGTCTTCCTCTATCTGCCTGGGAAAGCCTGGCTCCATGGATTGTCTCCTCTCATCAAACCTGCACCAGGTGAAAGAAACCAGGTGGAAGAAGAGCTCAGCGTCGCCGAGAGGCCACGGTACCAAAATTCGTAAATCACGTTAAACGTAATGTGGAATTCTAGTGAACTTTCCAAGTGCAGTAAACAAATGTCAGACGGGTTTAGCACTGCAGAAATGTGTGACTTTAATGGGACTGCAAACTTAGCTCTTGAAATTGTACCTCTACCAGAACCAGAGGCAGCATCCTGACCTGGCATATGCTGTCTGTTATCCTATTTCTTAAGTCTGGACAGAAAGAACCTTCGTCATCTCGCTATTACAAGGACGTGATATATTGTGAATTGAATCATTCATCTCAAATACAAATTTCAAGCGCTCTATCATACTTGGCTCACACATGCTGCCCCTGCCCTGCACATCTGGGTTTCCCATGGCAGCCTCCTATGGAAAGGGTCTGGGGTCAGAGGCAAAGCACAGGAAGTGTATTTTTGATGGCTGGCCGGACGTTGGTTGGTGTGCCCAGAGTCTGGGCAGGTGGCCCAAGAACCAGCCTCTCTGTGAGTCCTAGGTTCCCAAGTATCCTGAGGAATTGCTATCAAACTGGACTGTTCCTGCTCGTCAACCTCTCAGCAGAGGTCATGAATGGGCGAGGTTCAGGGAAGCCCTTGAGAATCATGCAATACAATTGGGAAAATAAGACAAACACCCCATGAGATGATGAGACAACGGGAAAAGCTTGCCTTCCCCGTGGCTGGGATTCTCAGGGCTTCTTTCAAGAAAGAAAAGCCCAGCTGGATTTGGAGTTCAGCTGGGAAAGCTTCAGGGGCCTGGTGGGATTTGCACCAGGACTTGAAGGGGGGCTGGGGTTTGGGCAGGTAAAGGGGAAAGACGGGCACTCCAGGTAGGTGGGGCAACAGCACAGAGGGAAGCTCCAGCTGGCTGTACAGGGACCTCCAACCAGCAGAGCATGAAAAACACCTGTTACAGGCACTGTGCTATTTGAAGTAAGCACTTGCCCACAGTTGTCTGAAGTCCTGCGGTTTCTACTGTGAGGGACGCAGAGCTAGGAGTAAGGCAGGGGATTTCGTCAGAGAAAGAAAGTAATTTCCCTAATTAGGCTCATACAAAGTCATTCCCACCAGATATTACCTCCAGTATTCGTCCTTTACGAAGAAGTATGTTTTCTTCTTTTCCTTATCAGAAATGGCTGCATCTATTTTCCTTACAGTTGGCGGAAGGCCCAGGGTGTGGATGCCTCTTGGATAGCCTGCTTGCACCTCATTCCCTCTGATGGCCCAGAACTGACTTCCTGTTTAAGATAAAAATTCACGACCATGTAGAATGTATAACCGTTAAGTCTCTGATTTTAGAAATACTCCCTTAGCACCTCTGATTTTCATAGTATAGAGGAAGCCAGAATTTTTGATAGTAGTCACCAGCTCAAGATAGACATTAAACAAAAATTTGCAGGTTGAATGAATGGACACAGACCAAATGAGGGAACTGACCACTCTGGTCAATTTCTGTTCCTGGTTCCTATCAGTATCTGTAAACTAGAAATAAAATAACACCAGTCCCAGCTATTTTTTCTTTACTCTAGAGTAATAAATAAAGTAGACAAAATTCGTCATAGTGAGGAAGTTAAAGTCATTCAATTTTCCTGTGAGAAGCTTTATTTCAGCAAGTTAAAGAAATCATTCTATAATAATTACCTTTTAAGATGAAAACAGTGTCTTTGCTGATAACTTCATAGGCAGCATCTACGTACGAAGGAAGAGATGGCCAAAATGAGGAGATCAAATGAAATTCAGGCTCGAGTATCCTGAGGGATTTGCGCCAAAAATGTCTGAAATATATGTAAAAAGAAATGAAAATTGAAATACTCACCTTTTAGCATCTTTTCTTTGTTGTCCTGCCTCACTCATCTTCCCCCACTCCCTCATCCTCTAGGCTCGATGTATTGCCGCTGGGAAAATATTCTCCCTCCCTCCCCTGCCAGAAGGCCACATAGGACCTGTTGCACTGGATTCTAGAGTAATGTCTTCTATGAAAGGAAGGTTATCCTACAGTGCAAATCAATCAGCTGATTGTAAGCTTTAAATATGTACAATTAATGGAAAAATATATATATTACATCATCATTTAGTTTCAAAAAGGTAGGTATGTGTATATGTATATGTACTATGCAAACATATTTTTATATATACATGGAAAATTCTGGAAGGATATATACAAGTCCTTAACTGTGAATGAAGATGGGGAGAACTGAGGAACTAAGAATCAATGATGTGATGAAGGCTTTCTGTTAACTTTCTTTCCACTGTGCAGTTTGAATGTTTTATCATGTGCATATTCATCCAGCAGTGACTAAATTAATTGATTAAATGTAACGCTATCCTGGTGTCATTTTAAAAAGAAGTAAAGATAAACTTCTCACTCTAAAGTTCTACTTGTGACTTTTGAAAAGCGACCAGGGCTCATGGGAAAGATAATTATAGGACAAAAATCAGATCATCCTAAGTCTTCAAAAATGAACTTGACAAGTTTAGGAAAACGTGGAAAATGGAGAATTAGAATGATTTCAAGTTCAGAGCAATCTTTTTTGATGTTTAAAAATCACTATTAAGTTTCTGTTTCTTTTTCTTTCTAAACATGTGCATCAAAAGAATAGATAGAAAAATAGAATCTTCCAGTCTGACCTGTCTTTAAAGAACAGGACTTCTCCCCTCAGGGTGCTGATCGCATCAAAGGACAAAGTGGGATCACACGCGGCTGGTGTCCCGGGTTCTGGAGGCACCGATTCCGTGGGCATCACGGTGTCCTTAGGGGAAGAAGGGGGCGGTCCTAAAGGGAACAGATACAAATGAAAACATTAGGAGACCTGATGGTTCTGTCAATTTATATGCTTTTCAAACATTCTCCAAGTGCTTTGAGTTGAGTTGCAAATGATTTGTGCAACATTTTGAAGCTTTCCTGAGGACCATCATTGCAAAGCTATAATGCCTAACTTTTCCCGCATCACTCACCGTACAGGGACTGAATGCCATTCACATCATCTTGAGAAAGGCGGAACCGAGCCAGGTCTGTGAGCGCGTTGTAGATTGGGTACATCAGAGCTTCACTATTGGTTGAATGAAAGAGACCCAGGGAATGGCCAAGTTCATGAGCAGCAACAAGGAATAAATTGGTCCCTATTTAAGAAATCATAAACAATAGTTACTTATTCCTTAAATATAGATACATTACACAGGTCAGATATATATTATATTTGTTTACTGCTTGGAAGCACACAGCTTTTTAGCCTTTTTCTTGTTGTTAATTTATCAGTTGTCTGATTACACTTAATGGAAAGCCAACTGTTTTTTAAGGCTCATTCTTAAAATTAATCTTCTAGACAACGTGTCATGGCAATATCCAATTACTCCCATTTCCAGCTCCACGAGCCTGCTAACTTCATGAGAGCCAGGTCCCTTGCCTTGTATTCTGAAAGGAATGAACCCACTTGTTAAACACATCAATAATTCTTTCTCCTCATTTATCAATGAAAAGCTAAACACTGCTTTTCAACATACTAACATTTGCCAGTTACACTCAGTTACACTCAGTTAAATGAATCATGGTTTATTCATCTCAATTCTGAAATCCTTAAACAATCTTACTCCTGCTGTTTTCCATTGGAATGCTGCCTGCATAACTTTTCAGCCTCATGATCATTATTAAGTACATATTGGGTCCAAAAATATTAATAATAATAGATGTAGAACTTGCAAGATTGGTTTAAAACAGCATGCCCAACCATGTCTAGTATTTGTCTCAAAAGAGATTTGGGCCACATAAACACTAGATGTATTAAGATTTTTTCCTTCATATTATTTTTAAAAACCCATGATGCTGAAATTGGGATGCATTGGGTAATTATGATTGACATAACAAGAGAATCAACTTTACTTTTACAAGTGTAATTTGTGTAACTTGTTCTCACTGGAGATTTTGCAGAAAGAAATCATTAATTCAATCAAACCAAGAATTTCATCTAGCGCTAACCTCACAGGTACACTGTCTCCAGAGATTCTCTTTGCATTTTGATGATAAATCCCAATTCAACTCCAGAGATAGTATCATTTGTCTCAGCGAGTTGTTTGAAAACTTTGGAAGCCATCCCTCAAAGTACCAAGTTATGAGCTGAGTAGCATTCTTCGATTTAAGCAGTTTGGACATTGTATTTGGGAGTTATTTTCCCATGGATTATTCAGAAAGAAACACAAAAACTTTTCTTAAAAAACTTACCTGAACCTAGAGAGAGTAAAATGTTGATTAAACCAGAAGAACCTAAACAGGAAATTCACTCTCTGGAATTTCATTCTCATTTCTGTTTTGAAGAGTAAAGTAACTGGGGGTAAATTTCTCCCTAATTGGATATACGCCATATCCAGGGCCATGTTACTGTGGCTTCAGTGCAATACAACTGCCCTGTAGATGCCTGCAGTTTGATATAATAAGACATTCTTCTGAATGATGGTCCTAAGATCACACAGGAACCACAGTCCTCAAAGAAATACTTAGTGATGCTTCCTATATTTTGCTTCCCAAGACAGAGAATAATCCCTTTTTTTTACATATCTGAAAATGTTTTAAAAAATGATTAGAACAAACTATATTCTGTTGATTCTTGACCCATTGGGAAATCCATACACCCCATTTCTTAAATATTCTTAGTTATTAAGAGCTCCCAAGTTAAAATGAAAATCAACACCAAAATCACCCTGAGAGATGTATAACCAACCCGATACATCCTTCGTCCATTGTTCATCATCATCAAAGTGAGCATCTCCATAAATTCCTGGCCCCGGTGGATACGCGTGCGCCAAAACTTTTCCCGGTCCATCAAAAGGGTTAAAGTCTCCATGGTCTAACAGAGAAAAAAAAATCATTGGAAAGATCAGTAATTAAGATTGCTTTGGAATCTTTTCCAATGAAACAACACCTGATAAAATTTTGTGTGGGGTTTTTTTTGTTTGTTTTTTTTTTTCGTTTGCTTTGGTTTTTTTACCTCGAACTGCAAAAGTGATCATGATGTCAGCCTCTCCTTCGGAAATCCTGGAGAATTTAAGTGGAGTCACGTCTTCCCAGACTTTCAGAGCTTTCTTAATGGTAGAATCAACAGCATCTCTTGGCAGATCCAGTGTATAGTTCACAATCCTGAATGAAAAATATTATTGAAAAAGATAATATTTCTCTTGTGATAGTAAAGTATAAAATCTCAATATTGTGTCAAAGCCTTTTGGGACCCATTACCTGTAAGTGAGGTGAGTCTTCCTCCACTTGGGCGTGCCAGGAAAGGTGCTGAAGTGACCAACGTCAGGAACCCCACATCTGGGCTTAAGCACCACCTCCAGAGTGTCGGAGTCCAGCTTCCCCGTCACCTTCAGCCCCAGGAACCTCTGCATTTCTTGTAATTTTTTAACAACAGGACCACTGTCTTTTCTTCTAACAAACTGTTTCACATCCTTTTCAAGGTTGTAGTAGTTTTCTAAGTATTGCTAAAGACGAATAATTTACCATTTTTAGTCTTTCTTATGATTTTTAGCCATTCATAGTAGATGTGCGCAGTTGCTCACTTAATCTATTTGAACTATTCCTCTAGTTTGCTGAAATCAAAGGAAGTGTCATATTTGCTTAAATCCTCAATTACAGACTCCTCCTTGGTTTTATTTTTACTTTGTAACTAAATAAACTATGTAGCTTAGTTTAGTATCAAAGCAGTGAAAATCACAATGAATTTGAAAACTCAAGGTAAGTATCCAGTGAACTGGACAGAGAAACACAAAATCATCAAGCTTCTGTGGGCAGAATTGTGTATTTCATCTCTGTTTATTCTGTTCCCTCAATTTTCCGCTTTATGCTTATCACAAGGACCTGGCTGAAGGAAAAAAAAATAAAGAAAAAAAAAACTTGGACAAATCTCTGTGTCTGAACATGACACCAGCAACGGAAAGATCTAGGTAAATTTATGTTGGATTAAAACACCTAACAGAGGTTCCAAAGCAAGATACATTTCATACACTCTCTGTTTGTTATTCACGTGCCTCAAGCCCCAGTAATTCTGCTACTAATGTGGTTTTGATCTTAGGAAAACACCTAGTATTTCTGGCCTTTGGTTCTTCCTACATGAGAGGGAGAGTCCTGATAATGTGACACTGGGACCCTTGCCACATCCCATACTTTCCATAATTGTCATTGAATTGTTCCTACACAGGAAGGTCAAACAGTCCTGAGTGAGCGCTATAAATGGAAAGCAGAGAGCATTTCCCCACGCGGCCGAGTCAGCGAGCACGAGGACCATCTCCCTCAATTACCTGAACAAGTTCCATGCTGTTGTCCTTGTCCCTTGCAGCTCTGTCCCGTGGGGAGCCTGAGCAGACTGCCGCACACAGCAACAGCTGAATCAGAAGAGTCCTCATTTCCACTGACTTTTCTCAGCTCTACGTTGTCCTAATGCTTTGCTCTCTGTCTACCTTCTTCTAGAGCCACTGCCTGGAGTCCAACTTTTATAGGGTGACAACGTTTGTTTAGATAACCCGCAGCTTGACTCATAACTGCTTTCATCCGAATGGCAGCAGGACCGTTTGCAAAAATTCCAAATCCAGAGTAGTACAAACTACTTTACTAACTTCTCTCAAAGCAGTGATTAATCTCCCGGAAATGTTTCCTGTCTTGGTAACAAAAAAACCTAGGGCATTTTATTCGGGGAAAAAAAAAAGATTGGAACTTCCTAGACAGTTTATGTTTATAAGTTTGAGAGGAGACGTAGGCTGACTCAGCAAAGAGTCAGAATTAGGCAGAACTCTTAAGTGCAGCTGTATTTTAAGAAGAGCATCTTTAAAATCAAATGTATTAAGATGTAATTAAATGCAAAGTGGTACTATTAAATTCTATGAAAACAGAATAAATGCTATATAAAGTAAAATTTGAAGGGAGATTCATTTTTTTCAGCCTTTGATTTGAAACACTTACTATCACTTTCTGGTTGGATTTGTTAGTCTTTGAGGAAAACAACCCCTTGGGCAGGACAGGAGGAATATTATAAAGAAGAAAGACTTGTATTTATTCTCTCTTGATAGTTCTTAATCTTGTACCCAATTTATTCATGGATGAAAGGCTTGCAGGAGTTACTTCACAATTCCTCGTAGAATTGAAATAAATTACTTTGTTCTCTAGACTGAAATTTCCTCTGTCTTTATCTTCAATTCTTTTCTTATTCTCTTTCAATCTCTTTCCTTCCTCCCTAAATTCAAATTAGTAGACAGTTGAAAGTTAAGGAAAAAGCCATCCTAAATTCTTACCCCTTGCTAATTTTTTCTTTTCTCCTCCTTTTTTTCCCTTTCTCCTTTCTTTCCCTTCCCTGTCTTTTTTCTTTTTCTTTGCCAAGTAGAGTACCACTCCCATCAATTGTATCAAATAAATGCTTGCAGGGAAGACCCTAAACATTCCCAGAGGAAGAAACTTGGTTAAACGTTTTACAGTCTTCCTGCTACCCACCCATCTCCCCACCAACCTCACCTCCTTTACTTTTAGAAAAGTAAATTAAAAAAGAAATACAAAAATGGATGCCAATCAGAGGAAGCAAAGTGTACACTTATTAAGCAGTCCCTAAGAGCACACACATTTCTGTTTATCACCACACTTTGTTTTCCTTTGTTTGTCTGTTTGCTTATTTGTTTACAAAAGACCAGAATATCCTGGGAGTGAGAATTAAGTGAAATGATAAAGAAAAATGTGCATTTAGTGAACATTTAATAAGTGTACATTTTGCTCCCTCCCGCTTGCGACCCTTTTGCCTTTTCCCTTTGTGCTTTATTTTCTGTGTGTTTTAAAATAAATATTGGTGATATTTTGCCCAATATTTATAGAAGATGTAATAGGATTCCTCAGCGGTAGTAACCTGTAACTGGAGGTTTCCAGATGCCTGGGGATCACTTGGCTGGGGGCTGTATGTCAAATTTAAGCACCCATCATTAGGCTTGAGCATGTCTAAAGACACTTCAAAACTAGGGTTCTACATTCCTTTGTGTCTTGTTTTGTTTTGATTGAAATAAGGGGGAAGTATTTGCCTACACTGACGTCAGGATCTCTGAGGGGGTTGGAGTGATGGCAGCGCCTGCACCGGATATGAATTCCAAGAAGAAACATCCACAGTTGCCAATTCCTTCTGAATGAAGGGTTTTCCTTTGCAAATTTTCTTTGCTATCAGAATTTAGAAAACACTTTTAAAGTTTAGAGGGAAGGTGGACAGAGATCATCTTTGTTTGCTGGACTGTTCAAGTGTGATTGGCAAAACAGGCTGTGCTTTTCCTGAGAAAAATAGAAAAGTTTGTCATTGAAGAGCTTTGTCACCTTTTAAACAGCTTCAGAAACTTCTTTGAGAAATCTTCCTGCAGCCCTAGGACTGTCCACTACTTATTTCTTTTTTCCTTTCTTTTTTCAGTGAAGGTACTGGGAATTGAACCCAGGACCTCACGCACGCCAAGCACGTGCTCTACCACTGAGCTATATGCCCACCCCTTCATGCTACTTATTTCTTAACAGTATCTTGTATCTGCCTTGGTTGCTGATTTTTCACACTGAATTGTGGTGTAATGGTTTACTTGTCTGCCTTCCTACGTCATTGTAAGTTCTTGAGGGTTGGGAATATTTCTCATGTATTTCTGTACTCCTGACATGTAGCATGGTGCCTTGCATATAGCAGGAACCTCAAAATTGCTCACAGAATTAATTAATATACTAATAAAGCAGGAAAAGCTCCCAGCAAATTCAAACAGATAAATGAAAAGTCAAAAAATTCATGAATGATGCATATCTAAATTCCCAGACCTTATATGTTGCATTGACCAAGTACCCTAGTAACTGAATTTTTTGTTTTATTTTCATAGAAAAAGTTTCAAGCTATCCTCATATGTCTAATAAAGGAATAAATAAAAGACTTATATACTTAAATTCCTTATTCCTTTGTCTGTTGAATACCCAAACTAAGACTGTAGAATCAGGCTGTTTTCTAATAAGGCATGGGATTGTCAGCTTGAATTTTGTAGGTTAAATTTTGTAAGATAACAGATTAATGAGAAGGAACGGGTAAATTAAAGAGTAACTGAGTGGAAGAAGGAAGGGAGGGAAGGAAGGGAAGAAAGAGGAGGAAGGAAGGAAGGGAGGGAGGAAGGAAGGGAAGAAGGAAAGAAGGGAAGAAGGAAGGAAGGGAAGAAGGAAGGGAGGAAGGGAGAAGGAAAAGGAAAGAAGGGAAGAAGGAAGGAAGGGAAGAGGAAGGGAGGAAGGGAGAAGGAAAAGGAAAGAGAAGGGAAAAAGGAAGGAGAGGAAGAGAGAGTAAATGAACCAAATATAGAGGGAAGCTGTGAACACTAAAAAAAATAAATAAATAAAGTGGGCTTTTTCAGCACAGAAATGAAAATTACTTCCACAGAACAATCATTTGTTACGTGGCTAGATACATACAAGAGTCAAAATGGTTGCTTTTGGAAATCTGACCTCCAAAGAGTAGAGGTCTAGGAGTAAACTTACATGACACCTGATCCGAACTTAGACTGTAGGCCAGGTAGCAGCCTATCTGATAACTTTTCACTTCTGTCTTCCTATTATCATGAACTTCTCCATGACCCATCAGACAGATAACACGTGGTCCTTGCTGCCTCCAGCCGCTATAATCATTCTTTCAGCTATTCATTCATTTATCAAGGGTCTGAGTCTTACATGCTTGAGAATAACCAAACCAAGATTGTAGACTTGGAGATAATATTTAAAAGAGAAATATAGAGAAAAGGTGACCAAATTAGCTATTTAAAAAGAGAAAAGAAAGAAGGAAGAATGAAATGAAAGAATGAAGAAATGAATGAAGGAAAAAAGGCTATAATCTGATAGAGGAGATGATTCCTGTGTAACTAATTCCATAAGAAATAAAGAAAGAAGTACAAGAATTATGCAGAAAGAAAGGTGTTCATTTTAGGAAAAAAAACAAAATAAAGCCACAGATGAGTGAAACCTGAAATGATTGGGACATAGAAGAAAATCCAGGAATAGAATAAACAACCATACAGAGTCAAGGAAGTTTAGAGTCTATATGGAAAATTACAGAGTTAATATTCTGCTGAAGTAAAAAGTGTATGAAGGTTAATACTGAAAAATGAAAAATAAACTTATGGGAAGACAGACTTGAGCTCATTCATGGAAGGCCATTAGCCTGCAGCTAAGATGTTTATTTTGTTAATGATGGAAAGCCATGTTACTACAAAATATATTAAATTAAAATTTTCATATTTCAATACAATTTTAATATTTTTATCATAGAAAATTTAGAATATAGAAAAAGGGTAGAAAGAAGGGAATAAATCATTTATAATCAAGTCACTGGAGAAAAACACTATCACCATTTCACTGTACTTTATTCTGATTTTTAATACCTGTATATTCTTTTGTACATCATGCTGATCATGGGAAATGTACAAAATTTTATCTTTTTTTCACAATTCTGAATCTCATCAGCCAGAAAGAAGTGCTAATAAGGCAATGTATTGCCTCTGAATTATAGAATAAAACATGTTGCTTACAAACTTTTTAAAATGTATGTTTTTTCATAGTTGACATCAGACCATATATGCTAATTTTTCATGTCTATTTCCCACAGAAACTTTCAAACATTTTAGGTGGAAGGTGAACTAGAGTTGAAAGGAAATTAGGAACAGATAATGTCTATATGTGAGGTGACTGTCTTTTTTTCATTTATAAAAGTGTAATGACTCAGATCACTCAACAAGAGTGGTAAGTATGTTGAAATCCATCATTCAAATTCCTTGGCAATGACAGTGGCCTTTATGTGGCTCCAGGCAACTCTGATTTTATGGAAAGATGGAGAGCATTTTGTAATATTCTTGGCATAAGTATTTTAATTGTGCAAACAAATTAACGAAGTTTTTAGGTACTCCAACAGGCAGTGTATTTCATCTGCTTGTAGGATACAAAATGTTGCCTGGGAAACCTGCACTTTTTCTCATATAAGGATTAGAGCAGAAGCAGAAGGGGATGGGGTGTGAGAAACAGCATGGACCAGGCATAACCGCATGCTGCCAAATCCACCTGACACGTCATCTTTCAGTCAGAAAACTACAAACAGAGGAAGGACAGCTCTGTTAAACTTTAGAGCCTGACCTATGCATTGATTGCCTGTCTTTATGTAATTTTCCAAGGGTAACTCAGGAGAAATTTACTGACTCAAGCGTGTCTGAGTTAACCTCTCCTATGGAAGGCATCATGGATGGCTATGAAATTCTAGGGTCACAATTTCTTTTCTCTCTTCCAAAATCAACACCATCCAATAGAGATGTGGCTTCAGTGTTTTCTAGTTCATAGAAAAATAAATGTCTTGGTCCCTGATCAGACATTTGAGGAACAAAATATAGTTCTGGTTCTTTCCGATGATCATGCGTTCCTGAGATCTCATAACACAAACATAGACAAGTCCCCAAATCTTTTGTTCCAACATA